CAGAGTTTAAAGATTTCTTTCTTTTAAACATGTGGCGATATTACAGAATGCTTGATGCAAACAGATAACGAATATACAAGTAACACTGATTTTGCATTAAAACATTTTTTTAATAACTGTATAATTTCAATAGCTGTAATGTTTATTGACTCACACCAAATAAAACACAATTAAAATAAATGTTGGGCATCTTGAATGCTTTAAATTTGAACACAGGAAGTATCATAACTGTCTGGACAAAAAGAGTGACACTTAAGGCTGTTTTCGCAGTTATAGCATACTGCGATTTGAAGTGGGCGTATCACTTACTTTTCTACACTGCTATGTCAGACCCTACGTGACTTCCTAATACATAGTTTGGATGTTTATTCAGTGGCGCCGGCCCACGGGTTGTTTAAAATAAATGCATTATTCTCCATTCAAATTAGTTTTGTCGGAATACTTTTTTTTAGATTAATTATCGTAGATAATGTTTTAAAAAGAATTAATCACATTTTTAATTTATATGTCTTAGCTAAACATAGTATTAAATAAAAATTTGTGAAACGTGACTGCAAAAAACACCATGGTGTTTATTTATAATAAATTTAAATTTTGTTATATTAATATTAATATATAATTAATATTTTGTTAATATTTGTTAGAGAAAACTGATATTAGGGTAATAAAAATTAAACAAAAAATATTTTTATTTATCTATAAAAAATTGGTACCTGCGAAACCATCATAATAGTAAATGTATTTATCTGGCAAGTATTTCGAGGCGACGCACTGCGAGGAAAAAGTTCTCTGAATGGAAGATACATTATTTTAATATATTTATAGGTTGCAATTACATAAGAAAAGTATCCAATTGATGAATAAAACACAAATCGTGGATAGTTATTTCATCATATCAGTGGCATTTCAGCTCGTCATGAGCCAAAGGCTTTTTCAGAACAATCTTCCATTCGCCCCTGCCTCTGGCAACTTTCTCCATGCTTTAACTCCGATGGATTTTAGATCATCCTCTATGTTATCTTGATACCTAAGTTTTGGTCTTCCTCTGGATCGTCTTCCCACTGGTCCTCTTCGGTCGAAATTTTTTCTGATCGTTTCATCTTCATCTCGCCTAATTACATGTCCTATCAATCCAAGGCGTACTAATTTAATAAATTTTACAACGTCAGGTACTACACCTGAAGAAGCATCGTAGTTTACTTTATACGATCTTTTTGACCAAGCACCATCAGCTATAACGGTTATTAACCCATTTCCGTCGGAATCTACTTCACCAATTTCTTTGGCTAAAGCTAATTCCTCCCGTCCAGCCTCTTCTAAGGAATCATAAAGTGTTTGGCCGATGATATCTGCAACTGTTTCCGTATGTTTTGCATACTGCCTGTAGGAAATCACAGGTATATTTAATGCAGCGTGCTGCTGCTGTATGTCTGAATAACCAGAACCATTCAAGTTCAGTGAATTGTTACCAGAATCCTATGTTGCTATCTCCTTTTCAATATTCCACATTTGACATTTAAAAGTCAATGTACTTATCAATCAGTCCATTTTTTCTTTGATAATCTCCATATTAGAAAAGTTGCATGAAAATGGAGAATGATTATTCAACCCTTGAATAGATATATATATATATATATATATATATATATATATATATATATATATATATGTATAAATTATGATATATATATATATATATATATATATATATATATATATATATATATATATATATATATATATATATATAAATTATGATTGATATATATATATATATATATATATATATACTATGATATATATATATATATATATATATATATTATATATATATATATATATATATATATATATATGTATAATAAAAGCTTTTATAAACGGTTGTAATATAAATAATAAATACTAAAGCAGTGCAATTGCTCTCCTTTTCCTTGACATAGGACGTTTACTGGGACTCATTTTTTATCTTGTCTCTTATAACTTATATCACTAACCTAATGTAATACTTAAAAATACGCGTAAACTAAAGAACTTTTAACTTATACCACTAAACTAATAATATATTACTTAACATACACGTAAACTAAATAATTTCAATGTTTTCAAAATAAATAAGAATACTGTAAACTGTAAAAACTAAGCAAGTTGATAAAGAAAATACAAGAATGAAAGAACTAAAATGGATTCTAATTCAAGCGAACTAACTGACCGTACCCATAGAGAAATAAAAATAAGACCGTACCGTACGCTCATGTGATTTGACGTCACTATTGCGATAACGATCAAGCTCAGCGACAATGATGAGGAACACGTTTCACTATTAGATTTCAGTATTTTTTAGCAATTTTCTTCAAAGTTTGAATACGCTTTTCTCGATTATTACTGGACACAGAAAGGTGAAAAAAGAATCAACGATTACAGAAAAAAAAACTCTTTCAACTGATGGGCGTGAAAAGTTTGGTTATAATAGAACGTTAAACAGTATAATCCAATTTTTCAACAGAAAATTCAAAAAAATAAAAAAAGTAAAACCATCAGTTTAAAGGCAACATAATTTCGTATAACATGTCCAAATTTCGAGACATTTCGTCGATAAATAACAGAGAAAAAATTTTGGGTGCACCGATAAAACAGCCTTAAGCGAAAAACTTCATCTGAAAGGGCTGTATGTTCCAGAATCACTGTAAGTCACCAAAACACTATGCAATGTTTGCTAGTTTGTGGCATTATTGCTTCTTAGGCTATAAAGACTATGTCTAAGCATTCTTTTATATCTAATAAATTGTAATATACATAAAACATTCTAGAATATCACATTCAGGAATAAAAAAAAATACATAACATTTCAAAGATAAAGAATAAGCAAAGATAATGATTGAAGATAAAAATATGCAATATTTTTGTCAGTGAGTATATTAACTAAAAAAGTCCCTTGAACAAAATAATTTATTAATACATTATTTTGTGCAGTTCCCCAGATTCTCATTAATTCTTCATATTGTTTGTATATTTAATTTTATGATTACTTCATTATCTTTGAATATAGCACTAGACACAATGTACAGGTATAAATAAAACAAGTCTTAAAGTTCAAGGAATGTTTAGAAGATCTACAAACTTTACTAGATGCAATAAATAGTGAATGCATTCAAATGGGACTTGACATCAACACAGATAAGACCAAATTTATGATAGTATCAAGAAGTCCAATAAATAATGAACAACTAACTCTTGGTGGACAGCAAATAGAGACGAGTGACAAAATATAAATATCTGGGAGCTTACATCAACACAGAATTAGATCCAGACCAAGAGATCCGGGTACGAATAGAAATGGCAAGGGCTGCGTTCTTAAAATTCAAACAATTGTTCTGTGACAAAAATCTGAATATTGCGCTGAGACTGAGGTTTGTTGAATGTTACGTCTGGTCGCAATTATTGTACGGGGTAGAAACATGGACACTAAAAGCGCAAATAGTTAAAAAGATTGAAGCCTTTGAACTTTGGATATACCGGAGAATGTTGAGAATCCCATGGACTGCCAGGGTCACCAATGAGGAAGTGCTGAGAAGAATGGGTTGAGTCAAAAAATTGTTGAGAACGATAAAAGTACGCAAGACTGCATACCTTGGACACATACTAAGAAATAATAAATATAGTCTTCTGCAGGTCATCATGCAGGGTAGAGTCGATGGCAAAAAGGAATAGGTAGAAAGAGGAAGTCATGGCTGCGAAATATTCGAGACTGGACAAACATGACTGTAGACGAATTATTCCACATTGCAAAAGACAGAGAAGCTTTTAAAAATGTGGTCGCCAACATCCGTTAATGGGGATGGCATAGGAAGAAGAAGAATACATTATTTTGTGCAGTTCCCCAGATTCTCATTAATTCTTCATATTGTTTGTATATTTAATTTTATGATTACTTCATTATCTTTGAATATAGTACTAGACACAATGTACAGGTATAAATAAAACAAGTCTTAAAGTTCAAGGAATGTTTATTGTGAATGCAGTACCTGTTTTTTAAACAGATTGTTGATAAGCTGCTGAATTGTAAAAGTGACTAAGGTTCTTAATGTATAATATATGTATATTCTAATTGCATGAAAAACATCACAATCAGTATTATAGTTAAAGACAAAAAATATATAATTTACTCTTTTAAGCTATCTAAAACAATTTTAATATATATTTAATATTTTCTAATACATCTAGTCCTAATTGAGCCAAATCAAATCCACACACATAAAATAAGGCACAATGGAGTCATTGCAACAAAAATGAATAAGTAGAATTCTTAAAAAACTATGAACAATATGGTGACTTGGTGATAATACATAATTGACTTAAAAATTTAAAGTAGTTTTATGTTAGCATGTTAACAATTAAAAAAAACAATACTAGAAAGTTGCACAAAGTGATGTAGTTTTTTGGAAGTGCTAGTAGGATAAACACCCCTACCAGTGTAGTTTTACCAGTAAACACCCAAAAAACAAGAGTGAAATCCAATTAGAAATTATTTGATGGCTAATACCACCACATAGAATAAGCAAGAAGGTGGTTGGTGACGGTTGCGTAAGATATTAGAGATAAAAAGATAAATAATTCAAAAAGTAAAGTAAAAAAAAAGGAAATGTGTCACACAATAATTGTATGTCTCAAAATAGCCCAACAGCTATCTAAATCATTATATACTTATCGAATAAACAGAATATTAAGGGAAACATTAAAACCACCTCATTTTTATCCCAATTTGGTGCCATTGAACCTTTGAAGTCTAAAGTTCAGTAAATGTTTCTTAATGTCTTCAACAGAGTATAGAAAAAATAACTGTAACAATATTCTCTGTAATAATATAAACAAAAGTCAGCCACAGTCCACACATACCTGGTAAAACTACTAATTCCTTCATCACAAATTCAGATATAAATTAAAGCATTCTTTGTTAATTTGTCAGGTAGTATTATATCAGAGATTCATCAAAATTGAAAATACAATAAAAAAGATCTATTTATCTTGCAATTTCAATAACAACCTGCAGTGATTTTAACTCTATAGTTCTTAGAAAAATCATGATCTTCATATAAATTCATGACACATTGCATCTATCTGAACTTCTACTAGGTCCTGTTGTACTCTGTGATTCTGATGCCTGTAGTTGTCTTGCTAGAGCCATATCTAATTCTTCCTGTCTTCTTCTACTCATTGGTACATTGTCATGCATAGAAAGGGCTAAGGCTCGAGCTAGAGCTTCATCTTCACTAATCATAGTTTGCATGTTGGTGTTCCTGCTGGATATTTTTGATTTTTTGCCTAAAATAAAAATAGAACTTTAGTGTAATGATTAAATACTTTTCTATTTTTTAAAAAGAAATTGAGATTTTGGAAAAATTCATAATTTAATAGTATTTATGAAGTGAAACACTCAAAAAAATCAGTTTTCTGTTATATCAATTAATTAAGAAAAAACAAAAGCTCTGTTGTATAATTATTTCAAATATGTATAAATGGGGATATAAATACATTATTTTACTGTTCAGTTTTGTAGCCACAGCAGTGACATATCAAAAGTATTGCAGCTATTACTATCATTATCACATAAAATCATTTCACAAATTTAAATGAATTATCAAAATTCTAGTACTGTGTTCTGAACATATGGTACTATACTAATATTAAATTACTTACCTTCACAGGTATGATCTGTGGGATGCCTATGTTTAATACAAAAGTTTTTACTACAGTCTTGACAAACAAATGGTAACAGTTCTTTCGTTTTACATTTGTTGTAGGAACACCTATTAGTAAACACTTTACTGCGTCGATTTTTCGCTGGATCTGATTGACAATCGTTGTCTATGTGAGCACCAACTACAAAATCGGGGTGCTCCCCTTTTCTAACTGGAATAGGCCTACTGCAAAGGGGGCACGCAGGCACTTGGTTATTTTTCTGGTATGCATATGGGCAGTTATGTGTATTGTAGCTGAAATGTTCCTCACAGAAGAGTTGGCTGCAGGCGTCACATTTAATAGGCAAAAAGTCTAATTTACCACAATCCGATTTTGAACAATGCTTCCCTAAATGTGGAAATTCCATTTTAAAAAAGTATACAAACAGCAATTGTCACAACCAATACAAAACACTAATAATAATATGAACGATCTATATCTATACACTCTCACAGTTTATTTTGAATGACGACACAATTTGGATCAAGGTATATATAATTTACTGCTATCGATCTAGAATATTCCTTATCGTTCTTACATCCATGACAAAGTAAAAAAACTTTCTAAAAATTTGCACAATAATCCTTTCAAAGTTTTGTCATCCTTGTCATTACTGTCAACTGTCAACGTCTGTGTCAGCTGTTATTTGCCTTTTTGAACGTGTATGGTCTCGTAATTTTAAGACATGTAGTTACAAATTCGGTGGCCTGGTCATACTAGTGGAGCACTTCGAGAATGGGCTTATAATGGGTAGAGCAAACACAGAGGATGTGGATAGAGAAGGGAGCTAGTCACACAAAAACGGGGGCAATAATCCTCAAAGGCCAAATACGGGGAGAGCACATCTTCTTCACCTTGGAAGGAGAATGTATCCTATCCTAGGTGTTACGTTTGGAATGTCCTACGATTAATTATCGCAAGAGACTCCTGGTTCAAAAAAATACAAAATTAAATTTCTATTACAAAAATTACTTTCGTATTAAAATACACAAATGTGACTTTAAAAGTTTTATTCAGTTTCCTTCGCTCGGTGGTATAAATTCGACTAAACCTAACTGTAAACAAATTGAATATATTCTTATACTATATGATATTCGATACCCTACATTCTCAGACGAAAGTCATTAAAATTAAACGGCAGGTAACGGCAGTCACTGGAATATTTACTTTGTTTATTTGAATTTCTGTGCGTTGTAATTTTTACCGACAGATAAATAAGCAATCATGTAGTTGTGCACAGTGTTTTAGTTGCGGCTTTCGATACATTAAAGGTAAGGTTTCATAACTTATGTAAATTCATAATGAAACTCAACAAAAAATATATAAACTTTGATGGTACACAAGGCAAATATCGAACACAGTATTTAATTAAATCTTGCCCAAGTACTTTCGATCACAAGATCATCCTCAGGGGCATTTCGTCAATTGTGGCCTATCCAGCAATAACCGAATGTCATACATGTAAACTGGGACATAACCAATACATACACTAAAGACAAACAAACACTTTAAAATTTAAATTGGAGAAGCTACATTTTTATATTATAGAAGCCGGAGACATAAATAAAAATGTAGCTTCTCCAAGTTAAATTTTAAAGTGTTTGTTTGTCTTTAGTGTATGTATTTGTTATGTCCCAGTTTACATGTATGACATTCGGTTATTGCTGGATAGGCCACAATTGACGAAATGCCCCTGAGGATGATCTTGTGATCGAAAGTACTTGGGCAAGATTTAATTAAATACTGTGTTCGATATTTGCCTTGTGTACCATCAAAGTTCATTTATTCGAACATTCAACCTTATATTGATTTAAAAAATATATATTCCCAAAATAATCTAATGTAAATATGGCTTGACTTGCAATAAAGGTATGGGCAGTCTTTGACTAGTAGCCCCGCGGAGTGACTGCCATTATTGCATGATTTTGAAATATTTGATCTTTTATTTGTTTTTAAGTTTTATATGGCTATTTTAATATTGTTATTTATATTTTAGATGCCATATCACATTTGCTCAACTAGAAAGGCGCAATGGACGCCAGAGCAGCTATCAATAGCTATCAACGCGGTGCAAAATGGAAAGTCTATTAGAACAGCTTCATGCTCAAACCTCAATATACTATTCCTTTCAGTACCCTTCAAAAAAACTTAAAAAGTCTATAACGCGTTGTCCTAGTCTAGGAAGAAAAGCTGTCTTCACTTCTGATCAAGAAGCCTGCATAGTGCACACTTAAGGTTTAAGGCTTATCCTCGAAAATTGTAACGGTAAAATTCAGAGAGATATCTATTTCAAAAATATCTTTCTTTACGAAAACAAAATCTATTCACGAAGAATATTCTAAACGTCATCTTGTACTAGAGGTTAGCTTTATACCTACCTTATACAACCCCCTATTGTGTAAAGTCTTGGGTCTATACAATAAACGAGCGGGCGGCCTTCTATTCAGTGCTGTTTTGAAATAATGTTGAATAAAAACATTCATGAAATTAAAATGAAAGGATTTACGTCTATTAGTAGAAGTGCGATTTATAAAATTAGTACTTGAAGCCCAAATCGCGGGAGTAATGTGTGCATCAGTTTTCAAATATTTATTATTTACTATATAATTTCTAAATTGAACCACTTTCACTTCTTTAGGTAACAATGTATCTGTTTTGACAACTAAATAGGTAATTAGACAAAATAATGAGTATTATTAATTTCAAAACAGGAGTTTAAAGAATTAGAAGGAGGTAGCCCGGGCCCAGTTAAATGGTCAAGCTTATTCCAGTGGAAGCAATAAGGAGGAGTATTTTTAGTTTTGACACAGCTGACATGCTCTCTCTAGCACTACAACCCATCAAACTGTGGTAAAAAGCATGCTTCATTTATACGGTTGTGAAACACGACGATTAACAGAGGCATCGAAGAAAGATATCTCGTCGAATTTAATGCAATAAAGTATGAGAATAGAAGGTACAGTCATGGATGGCATACAACGAAAGCAGTTCAAATGGGTACAGGTCCAATAAATGAAAGACAGTAGACTCCTAAAACAAGTACCTGTATGAACACCTACCGGAATCCAGAAGAGAGGATTACCTTAGAAAACACGGATGGAAGGAACAAGAAACTTAATGAGCTCGAAAGAACTTAAAGAACAATAGAACAACCGAATTGAATGAAAAATGGACGTCGGAAGACATTTTATAGAGATTATATCATATTATAGGTACACTTTTTGGACTAAAAATAAATTTGAAGAAAACCAAGTTCATGGTATTTACAAAATCACAAAGCATCAAAGTTAAGCTAGTACTAGATAATACAGAAATTGAACAAATATCTTTGTACAAATACCTTGGAGCATGGATCACAGAAGATACTGATTAGACAAAAGAAATAAGATGCCGCATTGGAATTGCACGGTCAACTTGTAATAAAATGAGAAAACTTTTTTGTAATCGCGATATAAATATATCGCTCCGGATAAGAATTCTTTGATGTTATATTTTCTTTACCCTTTTATATGGGATTGATTTACTCTGACTGATTTACTCTAAATCCAACATACGCCATATATCCCTATCGGGAGACTCAACTCGTACGATATTTATGACATGACATGACCTGAATAAAAGAATTCAACCTAATATTTGGCAATTTCATTGGGTTTTGGGAAATACTGAACTCTTATTGAGTGACAACCCTGTGTTAATCAGATCAAGTAGGTACTAGTTTAAATTTAATACATTCAATTTTTTTTTCTGTTTATGATACTTTGCCTTGTTTTATATTATTTTTGCTCGATCTTAGTATCCTTGTCACATTATTTTTTTTATTTATTTTGCCACAACTACTATACAAAATATCAATTACATAACAAGGTATACAATACATATTTTAATTATTGATGTATTGTGTTAAATTTTATGAATAAAGTTTAGAGATTTTAAGAATTCTATCAAGTCAGCTACGTATTTAGATTCTCCTCGAAGTTCTTTTAATGTTTTTGGAATGTGATGATATAGTCTTTCAACTGAGTATATTAGACAGTCAATCAAAATGTGCTTCACTGTCACTTTACATTCACAAACAAAACACACTGGTTTCTCTTCTCTCTTGATTAAGTATTCATGTGTTGTAGAAGTGTGCCATAATCTGAGACGTGTTATTAGGAGTTGATGTTGTCGCTTTGAAGGCCAGAAGTTCCATGTAAGAACGGATTTTATTTCTATCAATTTACTGGTGCTTCTTTTCCATTGGTTTTGCCAAACATCGTGCAATTTTGCTTTCAAGTAAGGTTTTAAATCTAAATGCACCGTAAGATTTTCCACTGATGCGGCGGTACTGGTTACTGCGGACCTAGCTAGACTATCTGCCTTTTCGATACCTTCTATTCCAACGTGTGATGGTACCCAGAGAAACTCTACTGTCAAATTGTTTTGGTATACGGTATAAAATTAACTTTATCTGCTGTAATGTTAGATGAGAGGGATAAATCTGAGAAATTGATGTCAGACAACTAAGTGAATCAGATATTATAGATTTGGGAAGTTTTTTTCTAGAATAAAGGTTAAGGCCTTAATTATGGCAGTTCTACTGTAAAAATACTCTGAGGAGACAATTTATAGATGGAATCTTCATGTGATATCACAAAGCATGCTCCTACTCCATTTATGGTATTAGATGCGTCCGTGTACATAAGATGGTATTTTTTGTACTGTGTGAGAACATGGAGAAAGTGAGTTTTAAAAAAAATTTGGTATCACTTTATATGCTGTAAATTTAAGGTTACAAAGCAGAAAGGGAACAACCCAAGGAAAATAAATTTATTTCACAGGTAGGATAAATGGGAGGTAGTTCAATATATCTAATAAGTATCTGCTAGCTCGTTCATAGAAAGGTACAGGACCCCTACTTCTTTTTTGATAGACTTCCTGGAATCTGTTAGCAACAGCATGATGAAGAGCTGGATTTTTTTGGATTAGATTTTATATTCAAGACATACGATAGAGTATTTTCTTTTTAGGTTTAAGACTTTAAGACAGCATTTTAAAGAGCTATATGATGCTGAAGAAACGCTGAATATAAGCGAAGGCGAAACAGATGTGAATGCTACAATCAATGACGAAGAAGTAGAAGCAAAGATCAAAAAGCTAAAAAACAGAAAATCACCGGGAACGGATGGTATACCCAATGAACTTTTAAAAATAGTGGAGGCCCGGAACTTGCAAGTAAACTGGCACAACTATTTAACAAAATATTAAACAAAACAGAAACGCCAGAGGAACGGCATAATAGTATCACAATCCCCATATTTAAAAAAGGACAAAAAACCTGCCCACAAAACTACAGAGGAATAACCCTCTTAAATACAACAATGAAACTTTTCACGGGTATTCTCAAGGACAAATTGGAAAAACAAATCACTAATGCTGAAGAACAACAATTACAAAAGGGCGGTCTATAACAGACGCAGTAGTTATAATAAAACAAATAAAAGAAAAAGTTATAGACTTCGGCATGCCAGCGTATATTTGCTTCATTGATTTGACGAAGGCATTTGACAGAGTTCGCCTGGGAGACATTCTAATATATTAATAGAAAATGAAACACCGACCAGTATAAC